GACTTTTTGGCATCTCTCGGCAGGATTGATTTTGGCAGACATCAAGTATGAGATCTCATGTATTCTCAGCTGTCAAATACTTAATGCCATTGCATGGCAACTATCAAATACAAGCAAATACTAAACACCATATGTCAACTATCCAATAGTGTCAGCTGTCAGATATTAAATAGTGAAATCAAATATAACTAGATTGCAAACAACGTTGGCAAATATGTACGTGTTCAGAGAACATTCGTTTATTCTCTTTTTAAAACTCCTGTCCCACCTTTGAACCCTGATGCGTCCACGAAGTGGCATGCAGAATTAAAAATGTAATAGTAATATAATTTAAAAGAAGGCACTAAAGCCCACAGTTAAAAATGAGTAAAATGAGCAAGCCAAACCTTCCACTAAGAACACTCTGTCCTGCAATATCACACACACACACACACACACACACACACACACACACACCTCTGATGGAACAAAGTGTCCACAGAAAACTTAAATGTGTGGGAAGTTTGAGAGAGTGATGAATGATACCTGTCAGGTATTCAAGACAATACTAAAATTTGCAGAGGGGAATTTTGAGGGGAAACTTTGAGAAGCAAATTAATTTCATTTTTATCTCTGACAATCCAGTCCAAGCTTCAGCGCATTCCTCCAAACTTCTCAGACCAATCATGTCAGTGTGACATCACAGGAAGTTTGTAGCCCACGGCAACTGCTTAGGGATACATCTGCACAGCCTCCCATCCTGGTACTGGAAAGGGGAATGTCATGAACGTTTCTTAGGTGTATTTAGAAATACCTTGATATAGAAGTAGAAGATGGCTTGCTTAAGCTCTGCTGTCCCCTTCATTGCTGCTTTCAGGGAAAGCCTCGTGACATCCATGAAAGGCAAACACAGATACGGTGAGGGGAATGGCCCTCGTTCAACAGTTATCATCCAGCCACCTCTACTGGCCAGCCTGCCACCTCCGCTGGCTTCTACCCATGAATATCCATCATCATCATCATCATTTTTAATTTGTATACCGCCTTTCTATATTACAGTACTCAAGGCGGTTTACACGCTGAAGAAACAAAAAATGTACATCTTATAACAATCTAATGCAATAATAAAATTTTATAATAAAACATAACTTTAAAATAGGCAACCTACATCAAAAAAGTAACATTCAATAATAATTAGAATATTATAAAATAATATCAACATATAAAAGTTAAACAGAAATCCACTCAACAGTTACAATAATATCTAAACTATAAGCAATAAAACGGCAAGCCACAGTACATAAAACAATACAATACACATTGAGAAGCAGAGGCTAGAGCAAGGCAGATGGAAGGAGGCCTTGCCTGATGGAGTCTCTCCCCTCACAGTTCTTCCTGCAGGCACAGCTTCCTTATGAGGAGACCCAGGGCCGGAGGGTGGGGCAAGGCAGGTGGAAGGAGGCCTTGCCTGATGGAGATGGATGAATATCCAGTGGTTCATTCGCCCGGAGCCTAAAGGGCAGCCTACACCGCTAGCTGACCATGCAATTCCCAGGCATACCTTGTCTGGTAGGTGACCTATGTCCACTCTCCATTCATACTTACCTCAGCATCAGCCCACAAATATACACACAACTTTTGTCAATGGCCTTCTGAAGGTGAATTTCAACCAGCTTACATGCACAAACTTCAGCCCTGTGGCATCCTGGGCTTCCACATGCTAATCACAGCTTCTGCCAGGTCCATCGCCAGCTTCCAACCATAGATAGGTTCTGCTCAGCAGGTACACTTGCCTTCTCTTTACTCCACAGCTTCTCATTGACGGATGATGGCCTCCTTCCATTTGCCACTTACCTCCATGCGGAAGGAGATCACCAAGTACTGAACAACACAACTGTTGCCCACTGTGTCCTTTTCAAGCTATGCTTTGGGTTTTCCCCTTGGGCCGCTTTTGTATATCCGCTAAGCTGCCATGTGCTTATGTGACATCACAGGGCGTCCACAGCCAATAAGAGCAGCTGGAGAGGCATCATCATCATCATCACCTCCTCAGGCCTCACAATAGTGGGTGCAGCCATTTCCCCTTTGTTTATTTGCTATGTACAGCTCACTCCTTATCTGTAATGACATCAGAGAAAGGCATGCCCTAAATCCACCTTCTCCCACACTAAGGATAATTTATGCTGGAAATGTAAAGAGAAAGAAGGTACGTTTTATCATATGTGGTGGACGTGTTCCAAGGTGAAAGACTTCTGGGAAAAGATTTATAATGAATTTTTAAAAATGTTGAAAAATACATTTATTAAGAAACCAGAGGCCTTCCTGCTTGGAATAATAGGATCGGAATTACCCAAGAAGGATGTTAGATTGTTTTTGTATGCCACTACGGCAGCAAGACTTTTATTAGCCAAAAATTGGAAATTGCAAGAAATACCTACAATAGAAGAGTGGCAGATGAAGGTGATGGACTTTTTAGAGCTGGCTGACCTGACTGGAAGAATCCGTGACCAGAAAGAGGAGGAAACACAAGAAGACTGGAAGAAATTCAAGGAATATTTACCTAGATATTGTAATATAAGATATTAAGAAAAGCTTAGAAGTAACAGATTAGGCTGAGGGATGGAAAAAAGGTTAACAAATAGTGAATATTATGGATTACAATAGGGAGTAAAGATTAGAAATTCGTAATTTTTTTAAAAAAGATATTGGTGTTATAAAATATGAAATTGGGAACTGCTAAATATGTGATATGATGAAATTCGGATTGGAGGGTGTCGAAGAAGTCTTTTAGCAATGTAAATATACCAGGAAATAAGAAGAAATAATTCTTCTTTCATTGTTTTGTTTTTATTGTTGTTATGTTTTTATGTTGTGTTAAGTATAATGTTTTTCTTTTGTGTTTATGTTTTTGTGTTATAAGAGAAAATCAACAATTTTTTGGAAAATAAATAAATAAATAAATAAATAAATCCACCTTCCTATTTTGATTCTCTGGCATCCTATCTGCATAACCTAGCAATCCCAAAATATAGACGTGCTTTTACTCTCGCAAGATTGAATGTCTTGCCCTCGGCTGTACAGATTCCTCACGAAAAACACTTACGTCCATGTGGAGATGGCAGTACCGAATGGGTGGCTTGTGCCCTTCTGGCTTGCACTCTTTATAAAGACTTGAGGAATGAGATTATCACCCTTCTTTTATTGTCCATTCTGGGTTGCCCAGCCACTGCCACAGTGTCTTTTCTCTTGGCAGATCAAGATGAGCAGGTGACAGCAAAGTTTGCAAGGTTTTTAGCTGGGGCAATCAGAGTAAGATCCACCATTCAGGACCTTAAACTATGTTTTATATAATCAACTTTTTATTTCTGTGTATATTGCAATGTTATTTTGTTGCTACGGCCTATGGCAGACGCAAATAAAGTTTCATTCATTCATTCAAGTGCATTTGAAAGACCTTCTTCCATACAGACCCCCTCAAAGGTTGGAAGAAACCCTCCTAGCAGTTCTGCCAGTCTTAGAAGCTTTGGATGTGGCTGCTTGGGAGAAGGGAGTTTTCCATGACAGCCCCTCAGCTGTGTGTGGCATTCCCTCTCCAAACAGATACACCTGGCACCTTCATTGTATTGTTTCTTTACTCTGATCTTTGACACCTAATATATGTTTTTAGAACCCACCCAAGCTTCTGAGTGTACGTTGCTTTAACTGATTTTCATACACCCCGGGGAAGGCTTTGACTGGCTTGCTAAACCAGGTGAGGGTAGTTAGTGGGTCTCAAACCCTCAGTGAGTTAGGAACTTCCTCTGCATGCAAAGACAGACTTCAGAGGATTGAGTGGATGAGACAATAATTTCTGCATGTGCTGTAGAGGGAAGTGATGGGCAGATGGAACTTGTCCACCTGGGTAGACCATCTAGGAGAAGGAAAACTCTGATCCTAAACCTCCACTGCTTTGTGGGATATCTTTGGGAGAAGAAAAGGGTAAGGAGTGAACCCTACACAACTCTGGAGTGGAGTCCTTAAGACGGGTGCATGGCACCTTTTGTGTCTCCTTCCAGCAACTCCTGCAGCCGAGCTGGTGCCAAACATACTGCTCTGCTTTCCTTCAGACCCCATCAGCGAGGCTGAGAGAAGGGGTCTTGTCATCTTGGCAGCCCAGGACCTCCAGACATACTACTCAGGCCTGCACTTTGGGGATACAGCAGTTTGACTTGGAGGCGCACTCCATTATCTCTCGAGACAGCCAATAACAATCCATCCTGGGACCTTATGTCGAAGGCTAGGTAAGAATTTCAGGAAATAAAATAATAATAATAATAAAATAAAATAGTTTTTCCTTTCGGTGTATCTTTGATGATAATGATAATTAATAATAATAATAATACCCCATCCATCTGGCTGAATTTCCCCAGCTATTCTGGGTGGCTCCCAACAGAATTAAAAGCACAATAAAACATCAGACATTAAAAACGTCCCTAAACAGGGCTGCCTTCAGATGTCTTCTAAGTCAGATAGTTGTTTATTTCCTTGAGATCTGATGGGAGGGTGGTCCACAGGGCGGGCACCACTACCGAGAAGGCCCCCTGCCTGGTTCCCTGTAGCTTCGCTTCTCACAGCAAGGGAACCACCAGAAGGCTCTCGGAGCTGGACCTCAGTGTCCGGGCCGAACGATGGGGGTGGAGACGCTCCATCAGGTAGGGATGGATCTAGCCCCAATTAGTTCCCATTGAAATAAAAAAGTTAAATTTCACACTGATTTCTATGGGATCGAAGTGTGACTGAGGTTGCAATCCTATACCCACTTACCTGGGACTAACCCTCATTTAATTCACTAGGATTTGCCTCTGAATTGACATGCATAGGGTTGGTCTAGAACATATAGTCTGGATCTTTCTCCTTCCCCAACAAACATAGGAAGCTGCCTCCTGCTAAGTTAGACCATTGCCCCATTCCATCTCTTTATTGTCCACACTGACTGATAGAAGCTCTCCAGGGTTTTGGACAGGACAGTCTCCCAGTCTACCTGGAGATATTGGGGATTGAACCTGAGATCTTCTACCAGCAAAGCAGATGTTCTACCACTGAGCTATGGCCTTCAAAGCTACTGTTTCAGACTTCCTAGCCAACTATTCTGCAGTTCCTCCATACTTACGCTGGCAATCTGCCTTCTGCCTCCCTCGAGGCACAGATCTGCTAATGTCTGTAGGAAAATGACTGTGACACTCAGAAAGTAGGGATGGATTTATTCCAAAATGAAAACACGAAGTCGGTGCAGTTTAGCTAACAAAAGACATGTTGTTTATACGCATTAGGGGGAGGCAGAAGGCGGTGGAGAAAGTGATGGCTTTAAGAGGTTATTAATCGAGGTATATAAAATCCTAATGGGCAATGTCATCCAAAGTTACAATTTTCATTCCATCCGAGGAGATAATGCTCGGAAGGAAAAGAACGCACAATGAGATACGAGAAACTGTCAAGAATCACTCGGTTACAGAAGTGGTAACTGACATGTGGAATGACCCCTAAGTCAAAGTCATCCGAAGCAAAAACATTAGGGTAATTAAGAAACACTTAGATGTTATACAGGGAGAAATGATGAATGGCCCTTGGCACAACATGCATTTGCCTAACCGGACTCCGCAGAGAAGCAAGCTCTCAGAGATGCTTCCGATTTAACCACTCTCCCACAAACTGTGAGAGAGATTCTTATACATTGCTATTACGTTCGCAAAGGTAAATCTGTACTATGCAATTATGGCTGCTCATTGCTCAACCTTTTGGCTATGCTGTTAGCTTTTAGCACCCAATATAGTGGTACCTCAGGTTACAAACACTTCAGGTTACATACACTTCAGGTTACAGACTCCGCTAACCCAGAAATAGTGCTTCAGGTTAAGAACTTTACTTCAGGTTGAGAACAGAAATCGTGCTCCAGCGGCATGGCAGCAGCAGGAGGCCCCATTAGCTAAAGTGGTGCTTCAGGTTAAGAACAGTTTTAGGTTAAGAACGGACCTCCGGAACAAATTAAGTGCTTAACCCGAGGTATCACTGTAATAAGGTGGGATCACAGATACCTTCTGAAGCCCTACTGTGCCCCAAGAAAATTACAACAACAACAACATCATAATTTTTTATACCCCACCCATTTGGCTGAGTTTCCCCAGCCATTCTGGGCAGCTCCCAATCAAGTGTTAAAAGCAATACAGCATTAAATTAAATATTAAAAACTTCCCTAAACAGGGCTGCCTTCAGGCTGTCTTTTAAAAATAGGATAGCTTCTTATTTCCTTGACATCTGATGGGAGGGTGTTCCACAGGGTGGGCACCATTACCGAGAAGGCCCTCCGTTTGGTTCCATGTAACCTCACTTCTCGCAATGAGGGAACCACCAGAAGACCCCCGGAGCTGGATCTCAGTGTCCAGGGGAGGCTGCAGGAGGTGGACATGTTGTTTCTCCAGGTGAAAACATAACCGATAGGAAAGCATCAGCTCAGTGACATATTGTGTTGCATATTGAGAGAATGGACTTTGTGGCAGCAGGAGCAGGACACATGTTATAGATCACAGTACTTGAAATGGGTTTCACAGCCTGAAGTGCATTGAAAATGTTTGAGGGTTTCTCATGTCTTATGGTTTCTCAGTAGCTCTTGTTCCCAAAGCTACAGGTAAGCTTGGAAGGTTCCTTGTGAAATATAAATGCTGATAGTGTGTATTTTCCAAAATGACCTTGTGAAATGCACACATGTTCATAAGGTGGGCTAGAAGCTAGACCAGAGGTTCTCAAACTGGTCTGCAAATCTCCAGTGCTTTGTGGGCTTCAATCAGGGAGAATCATGAGTATATCTGTACTTGGATTCAGAAAGAATACCGTATTTTTCGCTCTATAGGACGCACCCGACCATAGGACGCACCTTATTTTAGAGGGGGAGAACAAGAAAAAAAAATCTCCCCCTCTCTGCACAGCGCCCCTTCAGCAAAGCAGCAGGAGAAATGGAGCCCCTTCCATTTTTCCTCCCGCTTAGCTGAAGGGGCACCTACCCTTCAGCGAAAGGTACCCGAAGCCTCCGGAGCACAGCGGGAGCTCCCACCGCGCTTTGGAGGCTTCAGGCGGCTATCTTTGAAGCCTGGAGAGCGAGAGGGGTTGGTGCGCACTGGCCCCTCTCACTCTCCAGGCTTCAGTGAAGACAACCCGAAGCCTCCAGAGCGCAGCGGGGCGCTCCCACTGCGCTTCGGAGGCTTTGCGTTGCTATCGCTGAAGCCAAGGAGCCTGCATTCGCTCCATAAGACGCACACACATTTCCCCTTAATTTTTGGAGGGGAAAATGTGCATCTTATAAAGCGAAAAATACAGTATTTTCTGATAGCAGGTCAAGGCCACTTGGGAGACCTGCAGATATAGAGTGGTATACAAATAATAATAATAATAAATAATAACAACATCAATAATAAATCAACCCATCCACAATGTAAGCTCTGTATGCTTCCTCCTTTCCCCCATCCATGGCTTCTTGGAGTAGGTTCTGCAATAAGCAGGACACAAATGAAGGAGAAACAAGCTTTCTTCTCCTGGATGAAGTAAATGAATCATATTTGGTCCTCGTTTGGAGGCCCCAGAACATTTGCTTCTCATTATGCTACAGGGCTGTAGACATGATTACATTATTTTGAAAAGCAAAAAGAAAAAGAAAAAGAAAAAAACATGTCTCTGGTGTTCTGGGAAGAAGAGGTACTGGGTGCATAAACTAGTATAAAATTACAGGCCTGATTAAAAGGAAGATTTTCAGCTGCGGCTTCCATGTCAGCTCTTCATTAGATTAAGATTGTATCTTACTAAAGCCAAGTACTGAAGCCAGCATGGAACATTCATTTGGCATATGAAAAGAAACATATATTTGGTCAACAATGCTTCAAGAGTGTCTCAGCTCACTGGCGGGATTTACAGGGGATGTGGGCAGATAGGTAAATGGGTAAGCAGGAAGGAAAGCCATTGCAAATGGCTTAGGCTGCAACCCTAAGCACATTTACTCAGAAGTACGTCCTAGTTAATTCATTGAGGCCAGGTAAGCGGGGGTGGGGCTCCAGCCTAAGATCCCAAGATAAGTTAACCAAAGAAGTTCACAGAAGGTAAGTTTTCTGTTGCCTCCTCCTCTCCACCCTGCAGCCACCAGCACCCCTAGAAGTCTCTCCAGAGAACAGGGAACTCTTCTGAACAATGTTCTGAGAGAGGAGGGGCTGAGAATTGTTTCTATGAACTTCCCTAAGTTAACTTACATTAGGATCCAAGCCAATATCAGAGGATTTAGGGTAGTGCAAGTTATGTGGTCACACGGGGCACACAGCAGAGGAGGGTGCCTTCTCTGGCAAAAAAAAGGAGGAATTGTGAGGACTCCCAAAGGTATCTCCCCAAACTGGGTGAATGGGCAATTTGAACTGTCAAATTCAATCCTGTCTACTGCCCTCAGTGCTGAAGGCACCTTGCCTTTGATTACTAGCTGCTGGAGAATATGAGTGGGAGAATTTTGTTGTGCCCATGTCCTGTTTGTTGACTTCCCATGGGCATCAGGTTGGGAAAATAAGGGTCTAATCCAGCAGGACTCCTACTATCTTCTTCTGTTCTTAAAATTATTGGCAGCAGGAGGGAGGAGTGAAGCTAAATGACCAGAATTGTGAAAATCTGCTTCTCTGTTTCCCAATCACAATTTAAACTTTTTAGCAAGGAGTGTATGCAGCCCCGGCTATTGCTTCTGCGAACAGCCTCACTAAAGTTAAACTTTATACTTTCTTGTGCCTGCAGGTATAGCGTTCCGAGGATTCTTCACGGAAGATATTGGCCAAGACATCAATTCTGGAATTAATCACTTAATCAAACGATAGATCCTCCCATAGCTTGTCAGCATGATTTCTGCTGCGATAAATCTTAGCAGGCTGAAGCAAAACACAACAGAAAGTGTTGTTTTTAGGATGCAGGAAAGAGCTTGTGCAGTAGGTCAAACTCAAGGGAAACTGAGGATGTTGCATCCTCCAGCACAGGTAAGCCTAAGGATTATGTGGTTACAGATGTGACAATTGAGAAAACAGAAGAGTAACTTGTGAATGTTAGTGTAAAATTACAGAATGCCGAGAAGTAATTATAAGAATAAGAATTTATACCCCGCTCATCTGGCTGGGTTTCCCCAGCCACTCTGGGTGGCTCCCAACAGAATTAAAAGCACAATAAAACACCAGACATTAAAAATGTCCCTAAACAGGGCTGCCTTCAGATGTCTTCTAAAAGTCAGATAGTTGTTTATTTCCTTGAGATCTGATAGGAGGGCGTTCCACAGGCTGTGCGCCACTACCGAGAAGGCCCTCTGTTAAGACATAGGCAAACAAGGGTGAGTCTTAAGAAACTTATTTATGTTCCATTACATAAATTACATTTTTACCTTCTGTTGGGATCCATCACTTGTAAGCTGCAAACTGCACAGGAAGAAGAAAAAGAAAAAGAAAAGGAGGAGGAATGTTGTTGCTGTTGTTAATAATAATACCCTGCCCATCTGGGGACAACGTAGGCTATGATTAGCTAAGGGTCAAGCAAGACAAGATGATGAATACAGTGGTACCTCGGGTTACAGACGTGTCAGGGATCTGCCATCGGAAGGAAGGGAGGTGAAAGGGCTCACACAGGTTGGGAGAGACTCAGCAGCTGGAAGGGAGGTGAAAGGGCTCACACAGGTTGGGAGAGACTCAGCAGCTGGAAGGGAGGTGAAAGGGCTCACACAGGTTGGGAGAGACTCAGCAGCTGAAGAGGGAACCAGTAGGGGGAGAGAAGCTGAACTGAGGGAAAGTGAGCTGGGGGGATGGCTCAGAGACACTTCCAGCGAAAACAGTGGGGAGGTTTCAGGACCTCCTGTAGGGACACCCACTCCTCGCCGGAAACTGTCACGCAGAGACTCCAGAAGACGTGTTTCCGTTAAGGAGCTTTTATGTTGGAAGCGATTACAAAGCAACCACTGTCGGAATCTGCTAGTGACTAGAGGAGCCATGTCTGAGGGGCTCCGTCACAGACAGAGGTTTGTGGACTTGAACAAACTCTGAGGGAATACGATTTTACG